TTGCAGAGCAGGTGAAAATACATATATTTATCTGTAATATAATAAGAATAAAAAGTAAAAGAGTATAATGTTGGTAGCATTCAATTTCAAATTAAAAAACAAAAAATTAGTCTATTAAAAATTATATTTATATGACCCGTGTACAAACACCCCGTGTAAACTTAGAAATTTTCATAATTAAATTATTTGCTAACATATCTACTATTTGGGCTTTTTTGTACTATATTTTAAGCACGTAAGTTAATTTAATTATAACTTATTAAATTATATTATTTGTTAACATAACTACTAATTAACATTTGTATACTATATTTAAAAGAATGTAAGTCTATTTACATTATTTAATTATTAGATTTATCTGCTAATAGTATTTATTAAATACTTACTAAATATCAAAAACTTTACACTTTTGAAATATAATTTTTTATTTTATATTGTATAGTTGGTAAGTTTATTTAATACATTATAATTAATAGTTAATTAATTTGCTAATTATATCCTAAATTTTGGTTGATAGAACCTTCAAGTAAGTAAATTATAATTTAATAAAATATCTATTAGTATAATAAAAAATCAAAACTTTTAACTTATATTTAATAAAAAACTTCTTTTATACTACATTCAAAGGGCGTAAGTTTATTTACATTATAATTTAGTTGTTGAATAATTAAAGTTATCTACTAATTGTTATTGAATAATTATTTTTAATTTATTAGAAAAAAGATTGAGTAAGTTAGATTTTTATAATTAATTTCACGAAATATCAAAACTTTATTAATTTTTGAAATATATACTATACAATTTAAATAGGTGATGATATTAACGGTGAGATTATATTTATTATAACTTAATTAATGATTAAAACTAATTCTTAATTTAATTTGCTAATAATTTTCTAGATTTTGGCAAGTTAGACTTAATAATTAATATATAAAAACAAGTTATTAAATTGTAACTAATTATTATTTATTATTTTAAATTTGAAATAGACGATGATAATAGTAGGTTCATTTATATTATATCTTAATTATTTAATAATTAAAGTTTACATAATTTTTTTTAATTTATTTTAAATTGTTAGATAAGAAGCAGAAAACTGGTTTGTATTTTAATATTTAAAATTATTTGATATGATGACCAAATATTATTTTATGGAAAAAAGTATTTATTAATGGCATAATGTTTTATTTTTCATAAAGGAGGTAATGACAACAATAATAGATATAATGAAAAAGAAGGTATATGTTTTAATATAATAAATTTTCTTAAAAAGCTGTGAATAATTGAATAATAATCAAGTAACATCATTTTTATCATTAGATCCTAGATATATTACACAAACATATAAATTTTCTTTGGACAGTAAGTGATTTATAAATTAATTATCAAAATTATTTAAATCATTGATCTATTTTTCTTTATCACAGCTTTGAATGAGGTTTATAATGATTTGATTAATAATCGTTCAAGACTATTGGATATTTCATCATATAATTATTTTGCGAAATTTCGAATTTAAGCAATAGTTTAGCAATATTTAAGATAGTACTTTTACTCCTATATATTAAAGGTAAGGCTATTCTATTAAATATATATTATGTTAAATTTTAATGCTAAAAATTCTAAAAATGTTATTTTTTAGCATAAGAATAATAAACAGTGGATTAGGTCTATTATAACAGCTTATTAATATCGTTTTGATAACAATATTATTAGATTAATACAAGCATTTATCATCTTATCACATATACAGTGTGAGACAAAAATAATTAAACTCTGAATTTGCCTTATTGCTTTACTAATAATGCATCAAATTTAATATAAAATAGCTGGGTTGAAAGCTTAAAACCAAGGGTTTTATCAATATAAATTTTAGTAATATAAACATTATTAGTAATTTTTTTTTTTTTACATTTCAATATTAAATTATTAAAATTTTAATTTTTTTAATAAGTTCAATTAAAAAGACAATAAATTTCCTTCTTTTTTACCTCAAATTTATATAATTTAATGATTTTTTATTTTGATATTTAATTTATTAAAGTTATATTTAAGATTAAAAAAAAAAAATTTAATAATAACTCAAGTTTTAACTATTTCTTAATACTTAATTTACAACCAATAATTTTTTAAAAAATTCCTTAAATAATTGATCTGTATACCTTGATCTATGACCTGTAAGAAAATTCAAGAATTTCAAAATATTTTATTTCCATTATATAATAGTATAATAGATAAAAATGTGATTAAATCATGTGTAATAATGTGATTTTGATTTGTAAATGATCTGCAAATGATCTACAAAATGATCTGCAATTTTACTTAATTTAATATTTCGTTAATCGATGATTGGAATTTAATGATCAAGAGCTTGTTAGAATCCGGTATAAAAACTCTTTCCCCGAAATAATTAAAACATAACAATTCCGCAGTAAAAACGGAAAATTTTTTACTTTTGTTTTTTTATTATGGAAAGCGTTGTAAACGGCCGAATATCAAGCATGAAAAGATGATAAAATTCAACCGCCAAATGTAATTATCAAGTATTAAGAACGAACAAATTAATCATGGATTGGCGTGGATGGATAAATAATTAGCCGAAAAGGATAAACATTTAGGAAGAGTAATGATCTACATGATGTAATATTTATTGAATGATTGACAGAGAACCAATAGGATAAATAGAGT